TTTTTAAAAAGTTAAACTTTTTTTTAAAAAAGACTGGAAAACTTTTATGAACTTTTTGCTAATAGAAGAAAAAAGTTTGAAGTGATTGTGAAAATACTGTGAAATGATGATTTTTGGATTTAATGTTTGAAAAGGATGAGAATTTTATATGAGGTTGATGGAATTTCTGGAAGAAATATCCGGAAGAGGCTGAGTTTGTAAATATCCAATGAAGAGAAAGTAGGAAGTTATTATTTTTCAGAACTTTAGCTTTCTTTTTTTCTCTTTTTTCTTTTCTTGCACCTTTAGATTTGACATTTATTTTACTTTAAATTTGTAATAAATATAAATAAGTGAGTATCAGTCTTCTTTAATAATCATAATCATATGCAGGGGAATAAATGTTTTTCCCAAGTGCCTTGCATTACAGGTAGTCCTCAATTTACAACAGTTTATTTAGTGACCATTCAAAGTTACAACGATACTGAAAAATGTGATTTATGACCGCTCTTCACAGTTATGACCTTTGCAGCAGCTCCATTATCTTGTGATCAAAATTCAGATGCTTGGTAATTGGTTCATATTTATGGCCGTAGCTGGGTCCCAAGGCCACATGATCCCCTTTTGCAACCTTCTGATAAGCAAAGTCAATGGGGAAGTCAGATTCACTTAACAACCAGGTTACTAACTTATCAACTGCAGTGATTCACTTAACAACTGTGGCAAGAAAGGTTGTAAAATGGGACAAAACTCACTTAACTAATGTCTCACTTAACAACAAAGATTTTGGGCTCAATTTTGTACTCTGTATGTTACTCCTGTCTTTTAAGCAACTCTTTCATGCCAGCAATAATTGCCCTGCTCATGTTATAGCAATAGCACTTAGACTTATATACTGCTTCACAGTGCTTTACAACCCTCTCTAAGTGGTTTACAGAGCATATTTCCCCCAACAATTTGGGTCCTCATTTTACCCACCTCAGAAGGATGGACGGATGAGTCAACCTTAAACCTGGTGAGATTCAAACTGCCAAAATGCAGGCAGCCGGCAGGCAGCAGCAGAAGTCTGCAGTACTGCGCTCTAACCACTGCACCACAGTAGCTGCAACCATTCACTTCACAGCCACATAAATCCTAAACCTCTAATACTGGAGTGATATGAGTCAGAGCCTGCTGAATGGAATTACTTATGAGGACACAACAGGGGGGAAATGACAAAAGGAGCATGTTGCAGGGATGAAATGCTCCCAGTTCGGACCGGTTTGGCCGAATTGGTAGCAATGGCGGCCGGTGGTTCGGAGAACTGGTAGTGATGGTGGTGCGAGCCTCCGCCCACCTGCCCGGTCATCGTTACTTCCTGGTTTTAACCAGGAAGTAACCTGTTTTTTACCCTCTGCGCATGCGCAGAAGAGTTTGCACATGCGCAGAGGATCTGTGCACCCATGTGACGTGTGTGGGGGCACATGCACTTCTGAACCGGTTGGGAAGGTAAGTAGATTTCATCCCTGGCGTGTTGGGAACCTAATCTGCCTCTGTGGTGTTTCAGAACATCAGGTATATGTCTTCCTCACAAAGTCTCTCCTTCCACTAAATAGCGTAACTTTGTCTTTTAAAATGAGAAGGAAGTTGGGAACCAAGGCCAGAAAAAGCAGCCTCGGAATTATCTGACTGGTGGCTTCTGGGATCACCTGCAGGTGGGATCCAGGAATAGTCAAGGCTGAGGGAAATCAGGCTCTCAATTATCTTAAAAAGAATAAATTAAAAGCTATAACTAGCTATGACTATATTACTCAGGAGAAATTTACATTTTCTTTTCCTTGTGGTGCCAAGTCTAATTTATGTCTCTGAGATTTATTTTATTTTTCTTTAAATTTGTATTGTTTTTATGTATGTTGTTTATCTTCAATAAAAACATTTTTTTACAAAAATGAAGAAGTCCAAGTTGCCTCTCAAATTCAAGTGGGTTGGAAAGCATGAACTGGTGTCACCTACGTTGTTATGCATGTGTATGAAAGTAGGAATCGGTAAGCTAAAGAATTTTGCATTTTATATTTGAATGAATTGGGAAAACCAGAGATGAGAAATACAAACACTCTGCTAGAGAGAAGTTCCCTGAAGGTGGGCTCTAGCACGAATCTGAAAAGCTTTGAAGACAAAACCTCTGGTCGCAGTGACCGACCCAGACTGGATCCTAGAAATTTAAAAGGTGCAGAGGCTTGCAGAAAAAAAGTGGATACGGTGTTGTATGATCTGTTGCAAGTAGTAAACTGATTAATGCGGTGGGAATTTTTATTTTTTAAAATCCCATTTTTATTATGTTTATAAGTAACTCAAGACAAATGAACATACCTAATTCTCCTTCCTCCTCCTGTTTTCCCCACAAGAACAACCCTGATTGGTTGAGTCACCCTACCAGCTCTGTGATTAAGGCAGGACTAGAACTCACAGTCGCCCGATTTCTAGCCTGGTGCCTTCTGCACTAGACCAAATTGGTCTTTTGGATACATAAGAGGTCTGTGGGTTAGAACAAGGAGATAGAATCAAGAATTGAATAGGTGATGGATGAAAATGGACAAAGTACAAAAATTAAGAGTTCAGTATTAAAGTATAAAAGGTGATTTCTTCTTATAGAGACAATAATAAAGGTTGAATAGAAAAGCAACATGAAAGAAAAGAAAATAGGTTGAGAGTAAAGGAAAGATTCTTCTGAGCCATGGTGGCGCAGTGGTTAAAATGCAGTACTGCAGGCAGTTCGAATGTCACCAGCTCAAGGTTGACTCAATCTTTCATCCTTCTAAGCAGGGGTGGGTTCTACTTACCTTTACTACCAGTTTGCAATGGGATCACCTCTGCGCATGTGCAGATCACTGATGATGACATCCGGGGTGGTGGGCGGGGCCTCCTGCCGGTTTTACTACCGGTTCTTGCGAACCAGTCCGAACCGGGGGCAACCCACCACTGCTTCCAAGGTTGGTAAAAAGAGGACTCAGATTGTTGGGGGCAATATGCTGACTCTGTAAACAGCTTAGAGAGGACTGTAAAGCACTGTGAAGCAGTGTATAGATGCTATTGCTATTGCTTCTTGCATGAAGTTGCAAACTTAAGAGAAATGAGAGGGATGTGACAAATTTAAAGGACAAAAGGGAATACATGTCTCTATATAGGGATGTGGTAAAAATAAAGATAAGAATAGAAAACTAAGCAAAGACTGAGTGAATGGCATTAGCATAACTTAATTTAAGCTCTATCTCAGAATAACAGAAAACAGAGTTGGAAGGCACGTTAGAGGTCTTCTAATCCAATCACCTGCTCAGGTAGGAAACCCTATGCCATTTCAGACAAATGGTTGTCCAATCTCTTCTTAAAAACCTCCAGTGTTGGAGCACCCAGAACTTCTGGAGGCAAGTTGTTCCACTGATTAAGTGTTCTCACTGACATAAAATTTCTCCTTGCTTCTAGATTGGTTCTCTCCTTAATTAGTTTCCATCCACTGCTTCTTGTTCTACCTTCAGGTGCTTTGGAAAATAGGTGGATCCCCTCTTCTTTATGGCAGTCCATAGATATTGGAACACTGCTATCATATCACCCCTAGTCCTTCTTTTCATTAAACTAGACTCAATTCTTGCCGCTGTTATGTTTTAGCTTCCAGTCCTCTAATCACCTTTGTTACTCTTCTTTGCACTTTTTCTAGAGTCTCAACATCTTTTTTAAATTGTGGCGACCAAAACTGAATGCAATAATCCAAGTGTGGTTTTACCAAGGCATTATAAATTGGTGTATATCCTCTTTTCTCCTGCCCTTAACTCTTTGCCTTAATGTTTCTTACTCCTTTTCTGCACTCTGCAGGGGGTTCTTTAACCCATAAATAGTGTGATGGGTATGTAGAGCCTGTATGCAGGAGCCTGGAGGCGCAGCAGACTAATAGCCTGTTATTAACATTCAGCTGCCTGCAATTACTGCAAGTTCGAATCTCCCCAGGCTCAAGGTTGACTCAGCCTTCCATCCTTTCTAAGGTAGATAAATTGAGGACCCAGTTTGTGGGGGCAATAAGCTGACTTTGTATAAATATACAAAAGTATGAAGGCTATTGCTTAACGCATTGTAAGCCGCCCTGAGTCTGAGAAGGGAGAAGGGTGGCATATAAATAATAATAAAAAAATGTAGATACAAGAAAGCCTCAGACAAATTGAGAGTTCTCTGTCAAACCAGAAGCATAAAGCATAATGTTATATGTTATTATTACATGCAAGATTATTACATCCAAGCACTGAATTTGTGGGCAGGTTTTTTTTCCTATTTGGAACAATGATGTTTAAAAGGATTGTTACTATGGAAAGGAGTTCTTCCTCATTATGAAAAACATTGCAGATGATATCTGGAACAGTTTCCTTTTCCATCTCCATCCTCAGAAACCAAACTCTGCAATACACAAGAGATCACAGACTATTCCAGGAGGATCTGATAGTTTCCAGCACCTTTGACTGTTTTTCTTTTTTCTTTTTTTTCATATCATGTGCAGGAAATCAAGTACAGATGAAATGAATGAAAACAGTGAATGAATGAATGAATGAGGAGAAGCCAGAGAAGCTGCAGGTGTTTTAAAATATTTATTTGGGGAGAAAGGTTCCGCCAAGAAACTGTATAAACAAGATTCTCCCTAGCAAAATCCCTGGAGGGTAGCCAGCATTTGCTTGCATGGAAACCATGCTCAGCAGTCATAGAGGCCTCCAGAAAAGGGGGGGGGCAGAGCCAATATGATAGCTCTGATGTGCCCACTGGTTGTAATGGACCACAACTACAATCCCCAGTAGGGCCATAATTGGAGCTGCATCCAAACATGTTGAAAGAACCAGGTCAGAGATTTCTTTTTTCTTTTGAGTGTTCATTGCCCTTCCCCTACAGACACACCTCCTCGTTTCAACATCTTGCCAGGACTGGTTCTAGCTCCTTCTGTGCATCTCCTAGCATCCCCAGCGCTCATATTCCTTCCTACCTTTCAGCCACAGAAGGATGTGGGCTGCAGCTCCGACGAAGGACATGCGCAACATTTGGCTTCAGCTTGAAGCAAAGCGCACTCACCCCCCCCCCTCTTTCTCACACACACACACACACACCCTTGACTTGGAGAAACGCGGAGGGCGGGAGGGAGGTCGGGGACATACTCTTAGCAACTGAGAAGGGGGAACCGATTTGCTCTTGGTTCCCCCGCGACGCGGGGCGGATCTAACAGGGGCCGCCTCCTCCGAGGCCTTCTCATTGGTTGCTCAAAGATTCCCGTGCCTCCCGGTCGGTCCGTTAAATGGGGCATCATTAGAAAGGAAAGCCCGATTTCGGAAAGCGCGGAGTGGAGAAGCGTTGGTTGGGAGCGCGTGCCGGCAGGCTGGCCTGCGGAAAGGGTTCAACGGGCCACAGGGAGGCGCGCTATATACGCGAGTGGATTATTCCTTCCCCAGAACCTCACCGACGGCGCCCGGGACGCGAGAACAGCGGACACCGCGCGGAGCTGCGCGGGGAAGTGGCGCCCCGCAGGACTCGAAAGGCCGGAGCTTAGACGCAGAGGCGTTGGGGAGGCGGGAGCCTGGCCTCGGAGGGTGGCGGAGGAAGGCTCCATGATTGGCAAGGACGGCAGAGTTGAGCCGCTGCTTTGCCAGCCTCCGGCCTCCAGCCTCCACCGCCGGCTCTGAACATGGCTGGCTCTTCTCCTCCGCGTAAGTAACTGTCTTCGGGGCTGGGCTGGCGCATCTCCTCCCGCCCTTTGGCCGGGCCGCAGGTGAGCCGCCTCCATTGTGCGGCCAGACAGCACCTGAACCCGCTGGGCTAGGGCTAAGCGCCCGCAGTTGCCCTCCGGCCAACAACTCCGTCGGCTGCTGCGGATCGCTCCCGGCGCGCCTCTCGGCCGACGCCCGCTCCTTTTTCTCACGCTGCGGGGACGCGGCACGCAGCCTCTCGGCTCCTTTGCTGCGGTTGCCGGCCTCCCAGCTTGCGTGGCTGGCGCCGCTTATCTAAGGCAGAGATTTCGAAACGAGGAAAAAGCGCCCCTAGCCGGGCGGGGCAAAAAAATAATAATCGCATTTCTAAGAGTAGTTTTTAAGCCTTAATGCTGCCCTTTGGGGCTCGTGTGAGCGAACGCCGAAGGTGCCTAGTTCGGGCTTTATTAGCCATATCCGCCTTCTCGGCTTTCAATCACAATATGGCTTTCCGGCGAGGAGCTGCAGTATGACTGAAGTGGGCAAAAGGGGCGGGGGAGGCGGCCGCCCAGGGTGGCTGGAAGCGGGCCGAGGAGGACGGAGCGCGTGAGCGTCTGGGGGCTTTCAGGCGAGGGTGTGTTCTGCGGAGGCCGCCGGGGGAGGGAAAGCCGGCTGGGGAAACCGGGTTTCCCTATGAAAAGGGCCTGGGGGCTGGGTGGGAAGGGAGACTTGAGGGAGAGGGCTAGCCGGAGAGGGGCGGGGACGCGTTGGAAAGACCCTCGAGAAAGCTGGGTTTCTGTGGGGTGCGCCTCGGCGGCCGGTGCCTGGGATTCTTTTTTGGGGGGTGGGGGTGTTCTGAACTAACCTTAGAAAGGCGGGGCGACCTGCATTTCAGTGGGACAATTCATCCTGGGGTGGAACTGCAGTCGCTCGGTTTCTCTTGAACGCACTCATCCCCCCCCTTACCCCCCCTCCGCCCCCTCTCCATAAGAGGCTTCCTCGCTCTCGGTCTTTCTAACAGTCGCGGAGAACCAGGCGCCGAAGGGCTTGCATTTTAGCCCTCCGTTCCCCTCGGGGCGGGGCGGCTGGATAGGAGAGACGGTGAGGGGGTTTAGGAGGCAGGCGCTATCAGGCAAGAATTCCGATTCCCGGGGTGCTTTGGCGGGAGAGGAAGGCAGGAACGGGTAGCAAAGCTCCCGGGGAAGGTGGCGGCCGCCGCCGCCGCCTTCTTAGCCAGGTGAGTTGAGCAGCAACGTCAGATCCGAGCGCCTTTGCTTTTGTTTTGCCTCGCAGCTGCTTCGGCTGAGTTTCCGCACGAGGATGCACCGTGATGACTGCCACAAAGCGGGGACAGCATCTCGGGCGGCGCGAGCAGCACCATCTTTTCCAGCAGCCGCCGAGAGCTCGGTTGTAATGGAAACTGGGGGCGATGCCAGCACAGCCCCTCCGCGGAGGGGAGGCGACGGCGAGTTAGCAACTGCTGGTGTAGCAGAAGCCGCCGGTTTCCAAGCCGCCGCCGCCGCTCGCCCACCGGCTCCTGCGGGGGGAAAGGATATGAATATGGATGATAGGCCAGGCAGCGCTAGTCGAGGCGGCGGCGGCGGCAGCGTGGATCCTGCTGCAGTGCCGAAAGGCGGCAGAACCGCGGCCCCCGCCCCCTTTCCCCGTGTGCCTTACGCCAAAGATCCCAAAACAGCCTACCAGCGCTTTCTGCGGAGGAGTGTGGTGGATTCCGATCAGGAGGAGCCCCACTTTGAACCCGCGGAGCCGCAGCAGCAGCAGCCCAAGAAGATCCTCATCCTCTCCAAAACCAGGCGGATAATCGCCGAGAAGGGGAAAGCGGGGCAGAGGCCTGTGGTGGTGGAAGAGACGCGACCGGGAGAGGAGCCCGCCGGCCAGGTGAAGGGGGTGGCCGCCGAGAGGCTCTCGGCAGGTGACCAGGCGAAGGAGGGCGGCGGCAAGGAGGATGCCGGGAAAAAAGAGGTGCCCGAATCTTCCAAGGATCAGGCCAAGTCCAAGAAAGAGGAGGCCGAAGAAGAGGAGGAGGAGGCCGATATGAAGGCGGTGGCCACCTCCCCCGATGGCAGGTTCCTAAAGTTTGATATTGAACTTGGCAGAGGATCTTTCAAAACGGTCTATAAGGGGCTCGACATGGAAACGTGGGTTGAAGTTGCTTGGTGCGAACTTCAGGTAAGCCGCGTCAAATGTCTTGTCTAGGCTTAAATGCAGTAGGCGCTGGGGGACAAAGTGCATATGTCATCTATGAAAGGTTTGCTGGAACAATCTCCACAGTTTATCCTCCCGGAGCTAACTATAGCTCAGTGTTTTCATTGGTTCCATCCTTCCTCTCTCCTCCCCTGCCCCCCACTCCCGGTTATGCATACACCCACTCCCCCTAGGGTTAACCCCTTATGTTCTGGGTTTTGCTAAGGGCAAACTACTTTCCCTTGTCCTGTGTTTAAGATCAGCAAATTTTAGGAGGTCTGCCAAATCATAGGGCCTTTGAATAACCCTTGTTTTATGCTGCTGTTCAGTACTATTCTGAACTTAAAACTCTTGCTAAATTTAGCAGGGCAACACAGAAAAGTAATTATTTCAGAGAAGTAACAGCATTTACAATGTCATGAGTATATACTACTACAACTCCTGAATCTATTTATTTGTAACCTTCAGTTGGGAGAAATGGGAAGTTTGAGGGGTAACAATCCCAGATAACTCAAATGTGTTAATTTACAGAATGCCAGGATCCATGACTCCTGGTGGATTGAAATTTGGGGAAGTTGTGGCTGTTTCCAATACTACCACGTCTTCCAACTATACTTCCCAGAAACCTTAGGTTGCATGACTCAAGGGAAAATTAGGGGCCATACCCTCTTTGCTGCATCCTCTGCAGCACCCAGTTGGCACCAGTTTGTTGGTGCCAAGAGGCAAGTGGCAGGAGAATGTACCAATTACTGCTTTTAATATGCTTATACAGTACAAGTGAAGATGGCAATATTTGCTAGCATTATGTCTATGGCACAATAAAGGTAGCTGATTTGGAACCAAGGTTGAAATTTGAAATTTCTTAATGGTGATGGCAATGAGGTAAGTCTGAAGGAGCAACTCCCGGTGTTTGCTGGGGTGCACCATCAGTCAATGGCAGAGCCCTCTCTTTCCTTGTAGGGAGGGGCTACTTGGGGTCATGACAGGATGGGAATTGGGAGTGGGGTGCAGTTTTATTTATGGTCCAAGTTCCCTTTGTTCTCACCCCAGCAAAGTCACAAAGCAGTTCTGCAGGTCAACTGAAGAGGAAGGAGTGATGTTCCCTGGCAGCTTCCCTCAAGTAATACCGGTATCAATTTGGAAGCCAGCAGGAAATCAGAAATCTGTTAACACTACCCTTTTGCCTATCCATTCCATTACACCCCATCTCCCAGCAAAGTGGCAGGTAGTTCTGCATGTCAGCCAAGGAAAAGGAATGATTTCCAATGGTCCCCGCCAGCTTCACACAAAGTCAATGGGGAAGCCAGTAGGAAATCAGAAGTTGCTCTTGCTCCCATTGCGTGTTTCCCGTGCTTCCCGTGATTATTCTGGTGCTGTTTAGATGAAGAAATATTTCTGAAAGGATGACCCAACAGATCATGGGTTGCCTAGTATATGATATTTTCAAAGTGATAAATCCTATTCTTTATAAAGTAGCAGGCTGTTTTGTTTTAATTGTAGAATGTGTTACATATAGGAAAGACAGGCTCGTACATGCTTATTCAGAAGTCCTACGGAGGTGAGTAAGTTTGCATACTTGAGTGAGAATAATGGAGTAATAATGGGAAAAACCAATCATTGGTTTGTTTAGACTTGAATTAATTCAACTTTAAAATAGCCTGAATGAATGAAAAAAATTGAATGTTGATGTTTCTGGAACTAGTTGTATATATAAAGGGACTGGTTTATCATTTCTGTTTTAGACACAATAGTGCCACTTTCTCTCATTAAAAGCTTCTTTACTTAGTTGGTAAAAGGAATGACTTGTCATTAAACTTCTACTGAAATGCTGGCTGATGTTTTATTTACTGAAGTCACAAAGCTGTGGCTAATGCTTATGTTAAATTATATGAAAACATGACTGGGTGATTACTTAAGCATCACTTTTTTAAAAAAAAAACTCTGATGTGTTAATCTAGGCAATATTTTCTTTAGCACGATGAGAATTTTCTATACTTTGGTGGTAATATGTGCGTATATATGATGAAGAAATCACTTGTCAGCTCTGTTTTGCTAACCCATCTACCTATAATTACGAACTGGTCCCAAGATTGCCATGAAAACAGGCTGGATTAATCACATTTCCAAGAGACAGTAAAAGCATCCTTGGGGGATTGTCTCACAACTGCTGTTTCTTCCAACACAATATGCATCCTTCCTGCCTGATAAATCCCTATCTAAGTAGTAATTGCAAATAAATTTCCTGTCCTTATAGATAATTATTCTTTTCCTGCCCCATTTACTTTTTGTAATTAGAACACTTGAAAAGACCAACTTCAAAAGTAATTTGGCTGGCCCCAAACCTACAAAGTTCAGCCCTTGCATTGGCTGATTAAGAGTGTCAACACATTTTTTTGTCTCTAAAACATCTCTTTTGGAAATCAGATTATCCTTACAGTATACTTTTATGACCTTCTTTCGATGTGATAATAAAACATAGTATTATGAGGAATAACTTGGATGAATTGTGCACACTTTTGTACTTCACCATCTTCAATATACCCACTCAAAAAGATTCAGATGCATTTTGTTTGAAGACAAAGTTAGTGTTAGTGCTGGGTATCTCATAAACTGCCTTGTGAAGATGGAAGAAAAGGAAATAGGTGAATTTTCAATTTATTTGGCCTTGTTCTTATAGAATTTTGGTTTATATAATTTCTATAATTTTTATTGATTATTAGCCATCAAATTGTTTTTTACTCCTAGCAACCACATAGATATCTCCATGGGCAATCTATTTCTAATCTAGTCTTTCAGATCTTCCAGTGATGCATCATTACTACTGTAATTGAGTCTGCCCACCTTGCTGCTAGGTTTCCTCATCGTTTCTCTTCCACCATTTCCAGCATTAAAGACTTTTTCAGAGAGATAGAATTTTGCCTAATGTGACTGGATCTCTACGGTTAGAGCTAGTGAAATGTTTCTGCATGTATGTATGTATGTATATACACATAAATGAATGATATAGTTCAATAAATTCAGTAATATTTCCATAGTCATAGGCTGAATAACATTATTGCACTGAATAATTGAATGTGTTTGTCAATTCCTCTAGTAAGATGAAATGTGTTCCAGCCATGTAGAAATTATTGCAAAAGGAAGCATTTTTATTTGAAAAAGAAGCAGCCAGTAGATTTTTGACAAGTGGTACTTGACAGTATTGTTTGGCCTTGTTTATCAGTATTTGTGCTCAAAAACTGTGTCTACGCTTCCTTTAGCCCTCTGGCTACAGATAGGCTAGACTCTGGAAGTACCTGGCAACAATGCAAGTCACTTTTATCCTTAAAAGTGAGATTTCCATTTTAACATGCCAGAGAATGTTAAGGAGAGTCACAAGGCCCATCTCTCAACCCTCATAAAATGTGAAACTCATTTTTTCTCTCATGAGACAATTCAGAAGAACTCTCCACCATGGTCTTGTACATTAGAAGAGGCTTGGGGAAGAGCCCCATTGATTAATTAAAAATAATCACAGGGCCACAAAGGGATACCTGGGATGACAGCTAGCAGAACAGTGGATGTACTGGAGGAGATTCAGCAGTGAGGTTGGGAGGTTTGGAGGCATTCAGCAGTATGTTTTTTGGGGTGGCGGTGAATTTATTGTCTTGATAAAACCCCGGAGGATCGCACAAGTCTGCTTAGCAGACTGCTTGTTGTGCAAATCTGCATTAGAAGCAGGTGGCTGTCAGGAAGTGACTTATGACTAGATGCTGACCTCTTAACAATTTCATTGGTAAACTTTTTGTGTGTCTTAGGAATACATGGAGCTAACAGTATGATACTTTCCTTTGCATAAGAGTTGACCGAGGCAAGAAGATATAATTTTATTGGCTTCATCATTGCATTTGGATAAGTTGAGTGGGGATAGTGTGTAATAAAGCTTCAAATGTGTTATTATAAATAATCTTTGTATGCATGTAATCACATTATAATTTTACTGACTTGTGTGAAATAGATAAGATATGCCCAAAAATGTAATGCGTGAAGCTATGTTTAGGTTTCTGTTGCCTGATGAAATGTAATTGGTAATAATAATGCTACATTAAATGTGTCCTTTGGATTGAATATATCATGTCTCAATATAGGTTCAGTGTTTAAATAAGCAAATAGCTAGCAGCTTATATTTAGATTTTGTGTATAGCTGAGATGTTAAATATTAAGGGAATGTTCAGGAATATGATGTAGAAAGAGCTATATTCCTTTTCTCTTAACTATTCTTTCTTCAGAATAGAACATTTTCACATGTATCTTACATGACTTTTGATGTTTTTCAGAATATTATGTTGATATCTTTTGTTAAAAATACAACACTAATTTCCTTTCACAGAGAAATGTTTATTTAATTGAAGATAGTGGATTTATCTAAGAACAAAGATTTTGCCATATGAAACTGTTTTATAGGCTACTTTAAAATGTTATTTTTATAATATACCATAACTCTTTGAAAGCAAGATACAATACATTATTCAGCCATTTATCTATTTCTGAAGTTTTGTGATTAGACAGACATAATTTCTCTGTCAATACCCGCTTCTTTGAGTTCCAGTGATTGTATCTAGCTATAAACGTTTCAGTCACTCTTTTTAAACATTATCTTTGATTTTTCATTGTCAGATCTTCTCCTGATCTTACCTTTGCATTATATAGTATGTCCAAGATATTTAATCTTTAGCTTTATTAGTAATACTTCCAGTGATCAATCTGGCTTTACTTCTCCAAGAATTAAATGATAATGACTGTGTGCTTATTACAGTATAGTATCACTTTCTGAAAATAAGCTCTTGTGGTCTTTGGGAAGCTATACTGTATCAGGGATGAGAACTTGATCAGAATAATATATTTACCTTTAGGAAAAAAAGATCTACCCTTTCAAACCTCCTTGTTGCAGGAATAAAATCCTTTGGCGTCCTTAGTGTTTTGAATTTAGAAAGTAAAAATGTAGCATT